TATTTTGAAAGTGCATTAATGCAGTTGGGCTCTTCCGAACTAATTATTGGCAGAAAAATAATTTATATATTTTACCACTATGTCAACAGATAGCGGTTCAGTTACTTAACTTACGTTAATGACAACGTACATATTATGTGAATACGTTAATTATTATTCAGATATGATGTGATTTGCAGATATTATACGACGACGTAATACTTCTTTAGATGATTCTAAATTCCACATTTTGAATCTTTCACCTAAAAGAGGAAGACCAAAAATATACGGAAATATTAAATTACTTCCACTATGCACCACCACTAGACCAGTAACGGAAGAAAAACAAACATATTATGTGTTTATTACCATACATCCCTCCAGTTTTTCAGGAACATTTTAAAAATCTTAAAAACACATAATGATAAAAGTGGATTACTTTTTAAAAATAATTAATAAAGGTTCATGAATTATTTCATTAAAATTATTGTTTCTAATATAACTCGTAGTTTTTTATTGCTTTACGTCATTCAGAGGACATTCAGTTAATTTTTAAAATGGGTCCAAGTCAATTCGCACTTTAAAAACGACATTTTGGTATGAAATTCACATAAAATTTCATATTCATAATAAATTTCCATTAATCAAGAGTAATAAAATTCTAAATTAAAATGTTGCATGATATAAAAATATCTTTTAATTTATTCAAATGCAATGCATTAAATATCTCGAAACAAGAAATATATGACTTAGACCACTTTCATAATTATGGGCACAAATCATCGGGGTAAATCGAAATTTGTTGTCATCGCTCTATTGACAACTGTTACGAGCTGAGTACGATTACGGCACCTGCCCATTACGCGTACCATTTTTAAGCGTGATATGGAACGGAAGGTACCCCGACTATAAACAAAAAGGACCTTGAAGTGGTCTTCGGTAATCGCAAGTCATGAATAGAAATCAAAATGTTCGTCATCGTTCGATCGAAATTACCTTGACCTCGTTACAATTAATTCACCGACCCATAACGTGCTACTTTTAGTTAGAAAATGAAATGAAAGTTGGAATCGCCTATACAAAAAGAATTACGAAGCGAGCTTCGTTAATGACGAATTGCGAGTAAAACTCGAAACACTCGTCCTACTTCACGTAACACCGTTACGACCTCGTTACGATTAATACACCTATCCTTGGCATGTATTATTTTTCACCGCAAGAAATTCATTTAGGACGAAAGGTACTTCTACTGTAAATAAACAAGATCCTAGAATATTCTTAGACAATTACGAATAATGAGCTAAAATGTGCCCATAATTATGAAAGTGGTCTAAGTCATATATTTTTTGTTGCAAAATCACATTGAATTAATTTCGTTTGAAATAATATGGCGTGAAATAACTGATAAACTCATTTTTTTTTAATTTTGACTTAGACCACTTTCATAATTAAGGGCACAAATAAAAGCTCTTATCGTTCGTTCCTTGTTACAATCGCAATTAATTCACTTGTCCACGTAATGTATCATCTTTCGCTATGAAATGTTTGGAAACGAAAGATACTAATGTTGTAAACAAAAAGAGCCCTGAAGTAGTCCACAGTAGTTGTAAATTATAGATAATAATCAGAATTGAGCATCACCATAGTTCGTTCCGACCTCGTTATAATTAAATCATCTATCCATTACATCTATTATTGTCCATTATGAAATTAAACAGAAAGTAAAGCTATTGTGAACAAGGACCTTGGGGGTGATCGCCGTCAATCCCACATCATGAACGACAAACAAAACATTTGTCACCATTCATTTACCATCGCTACGGCCTCATTGCGATTAATATACCATATCCGTAAAGCTGGCATTGCCACTTTAGCACAATTCAATAAAATTTATTGCTAATTTATTGCTATTTTACTGCGCAAAAAAAAACAATGTTTTGCCCTTATACATTTTCGAAGAACGGTGGCGATGCCAGCTTTATATTAAGCTAGCATTGCCACTTTATAAAAACAATAATAAAGCAAACGTGCATAGTTGACGTATACGCCAGAATTTATTGCTAATTAATTGCTCGCAGAAAAACCAAACTGATGCTTTTATTCATCCCTAAAGGGGTATGTCACCACCTCTAGAGTCGGTAGCAGCATAGCAACATGAAAACGCAAAACTTTATACTAAGCTAACATTGCCACTTTATAAAAACAATAATAAAGCGAACGTTCATAGTTTACGTATACGCCAGAATTTATCGCTAATTAATTGCTCGCAGAAAAACCAAACTGATGCTTTTTTCATTCCTAAAGGGTATGTCACCACCCCCAGAGCCGGTAGCAGCACAGCAACATGAAAACGCAAAACTTTATACTAAGCTAACATTGCCACTTTATAAAAACAATAATAAAGCGAACGTACATAGTTGACGTATACGCCAGAATTTATTGCTAATTAATTGCTCGCAGAAAATCCAAACTGACTCGTTTATTCATCCCTAAAGGGGTATGTCACCACCCCTAGAGTCGGTAGCAGCATGACAACATGAAAACGCAAAACTTTATACTAAGCTAAAATTGCCACTTTATAAAAACAATAATAAAACAAACGTACATAGTTGACGTATACGCCAGAATTTATTGCTAATTAATTACTCGCAGAAAAACCAAACTTCGACTCTTTTATTCACCCTTAAAAGGGTATGTCACCACCCCTAGAGTCGGTAACAGCATGACAACATGAAAACGGAAAACTGTATAGTAAATGAACATTGCCACGTTATAAAAACAATAATAAAGCAAATGTTCATAGTTGACGTATACGCCAGAATTTATAGCTAATTAATTTCTCGCAGAAAAACCAAACTTTGACTCTTTTATTCATTCCTAAAGGGTATGTCACCACCCCCAGAGCCGGTAACAGCATGACAACATGAAAACGGAAAACTTTATAGTAAATGAGCATTGCCACGTTATAAAAACAATAATAAAGCAAATGTTCATAGTTGACGTATACGCCAGAATTTATTGCTAATTAATAGCTCGTAGAAAAACCAAACTTCGACTCTTTTATTCACTCCGAAAGGGGTATGTCACCACCCCTAGAGACGGTAGCAAAATGACAACATGAAAACAGTGGGAAAAGACTGATTTCTAGATAGCAACTAATTATCAGTTACTTCTCTTGTGGAGAAATGAATCGGTTGATACAGTTTTTATTCAGCATAACTGTGCTAAACGCGAGGGATAGAATAATCAGCTGAGAGATGAAGAAACAAAATCCAATCTTGGTTCATCTAGGAGCATTTAATTAGCAATTAGTACCCACATGGAGGAATCCTTCTATTTTCACAATTTTGTCTGGCCATTCTGTGGGGTGTTCATGCTGCGGCGATGTCTTAGAAGCAATTAATTAGCAATAAAATCTTCTGCGAAGAAATCAGTCGTTTCCCCCCGTTTGCATATTTTCATGCTGCTACCGGTCCTAGGGGTGGTGACATCCCCCTTTAGGGGTGGATAAAAGAATCGAAGTCTGGTTTATCTGCAAGCAATTAATTAGCAGTAAATTCTGGCGTATACGTCAACTGTGAACATTTGCTATATTATTCTTTTTATAAAGTGGCAATGCTAGCTTAATATAAAGCAGCCATCGCCACTGTTTTTCGAAAATGTATAAGTGATAAAATTTCTTTCTCGCGCAATAAAATAGCAGCAAATTAGCAATCAATTTTACTGACTTGCCAGCTTTATGGACATTGATATATACCTAACCGTAACGCGTACCTCACACCATACAAAAGGAAACAAAAAAAAAAATGCGTTGTACACGAGAAGAACCTCGAAGCATTCCTCGGTGACCATGACTCACGAGCAGAAGTCGAAATCACTGTCATCGAGCAATCGTCATCGCCGTGACCTTATTGCTAATAATGCGTAAATGACCATTCCCTGTGAAACAAAGCGAAAACTGAAGATCACCATAAACAAAAGTCGCCTAAATTAAGTATACAATTTCTTAAAGAGTAATTAACATTACGGGAAGAAATTAAATCCACCCGGCATGCGATATCAAGCTCTTGCCAAACTGTAAGCGTCTTGCGTGCTTTCGAGTCCGTCTATCTCAGAGCTTGCTTATCGAAAGATAAATATTTCAAGGCTACCCCTAAGGTCCGACGTCATCGAATGCACATACGCCGGCTCGTCCGCGCAAAAAATCCCCGTTTTATTAATAACTACGTGAGAGATCCCCGAAGCATCGAAAGAATAAAAGCGCAAAAGACCGGCCGAGGAGAAACACGAGGAAAGAAACGACGCCACTCGGCCGTGCGACGTCGACTCGCGAGGAGGAAAGATAAGTATTAAAGCACCGTCGAAATAAATAATCGGCTATTTCCGCGGTGGACGAGAAAGCAGAGACCAACTTCAAATTATAAACAATTCCCTGCCGTCGTATTTTCCAGCCGAAGGAGCCTATTCACTCGTTAATTACAGTCGGTCGACTGTCAACAAGAGCGTCGGTGCCGTCGTTGCGATCTTAAGTTACGGCAAAAATCCGAGGAAATAAAGCGCCAAGAGAGAGCGCTGCGATCAGAGAGAGCGCCCTACTCAAGCGGAGCCTACGCCTATTCGAGTGTTGGCGGAATAAAACCGCAGTGGTGCAGGCCGGTGGGCCTGAGAGGCGCGCGTCCGCGATAGTCGGAGTCTCGCCAAGGCTCGCGGAATGCCAGGGTGCTGCGTAGGAAACGATTCGCGCGGGGCTAAGCGGCTTCGAAATTCTCTACAACTCCCCAGCGAGTCGTTTCTTTGCGGCGATCCGAAGGAGTAGGGGTTGCGGGGAAGAAAATAGGTTTTAAGGGGATAAATATAAGTGAGACGCGGAGCGATCGAGGGTCTCGAGGGACTCGGGAAACGGGGCCACGTCGGGGGGCAGCCCGGAGGTACCGAGAAGGTCGCGAGGAGTCGGGTGCCCCCCGGCGACGCCACTGCGCGCTCGGCGCCGACCCGTGGGGAGTCAGGGAGCTTCCACTCACCGGTCTTTCCGGGGTCGGCAGGACCGTCACATTTTTCCCGCGTCGCAACGGGCCTCGGGGAGCCGGCTTCCTCTCGCACTCGGGCCGCACCCGGGGCGCTCACTCGCCGATGAGCCGCGCGCAGGCCATCTTGGACCTAACGGAACGAACGGCACGACGAACCCACAACCGACTACGCTCGCCGTAAACGGACGCGAGACACTGAAGCGAGAGCGCTGGGGGAAAGCCGTGCGCGAGCCGCGCGCGCGACCGTCGCCACCTCGCGGCGAGAGCTCGAAGCGCGAGTCGGCTCGGAAGAGCGTGGCCGAGTTCGACCATCGATCCCTCTGCGACCCGCTCCCCGCGCGAGTCGGCGGCGGACTGGCGCGGCGAGGCCGGAACGCCGCCGCATTGGACGAGCGCCGCGACAACGGAAGCGACGCGCTCGGACGGAACGCCGTGACGCATTGGCCGCTCGGCGTCACAACGGAAAGTACGCGAACGTCCATTCCGCGCCATCTACACCCCGCTGGATAAATTAAGCGTCGTTTCATTTTTATTCTTCTCCCATCGATTTGTAAACGCGAGAGGAGCACATCTCGAGTTCTGAATTTGTACTCTTTATTTCTGACCAGGGGTGGGTAAGTATAATACGTCATGTAATATACGTAGAGTTCGAAAATTCTCGGTAACATTAAATTGGAGAAGGTAACTGTGAAACATACCGTAAGTTACCGGGAACATTGAGAATTTAAGAGAACGTTCATTTTGTTATTTATACTTTAGGTTTCTTCGTTTAAATAACTTTTTTTTTTTCAATCAACTTCAAAGTTCAAGCTAAAGAGTAATAATTACTATTAGAAAATATTGATTATAGGGTCGTATTTACGTCCAGCTAAAAATATTCACGTATGTACAACTTCACGGAAAATTCCATGCGATTTGTTTCAAACAAACTGATATTTCATTCTGCGATGAAGCGAATGGGAGGTTTTGATTGGCTACGGAGAACGTACAACGGAAATTCCCCTCTACGATGATTCTCTATAGCTAATCGAAACCTCTCGTTCGCTCTGTTGAAAAATTCAAATTCTCATAATTTCTCGATAAAAAAGACTTTGGAAAAATTACCGATAAGTTACCGGGAATTTCTCTTCGTTTCTGACGTAACTTACTGGATTTAGAACTCTAAATATACATGGTTTTCTACGTGTGTATTACAACGTATAATACATCTCTAGTTTCCTACGCGAGCGCAAAGTATATTACGCCTTTCTATTTCTAAATATAAAATAATTAATCCAGGGAGAAATTTGATATTAAAGGGGGTTAAACTGAAAGGATTTTAAATACGGTAGATTAATCATTTCTTAGCAATTTTTATATATTTACATGTGCGCTAAAAGACGTTAACCTTGCGAATACATATATCATGCATCCGCGAAATCCGCCACATTGGAAGGGTGAAATTCTAAACAATTTTGAATACAAGCGCCATATTAATTCATTGTACTTTAAAATATTTCCGTGTTTATATATGTGCTAAAAGACGTTTATAACCTAGTCTCGATACTGTATATTGTCCACCTACGGCATTCTTCATATCGGAAACGTAAATTATTGGTTTTCTACGATTTTCTACAATAAATTACATTGTGTACGTAATATACGTCAAAAACCTTGAAAAACGCGAAAATGCCCAACCCTGTTCCTGACAATGAGAAAAGCGAGCCAGAGATGAGTTGAGACCATCGACATTTAACCACTTGCGCTATAAAGACGTGCCACGCACGTCGAGATGCTTTTGTTCGAAAACTGCCAGCGACATGTATACCACATGGTTACGCATTTGTCGCAGAAACAAAATCGACGTGTCCGGCACGTCGGCTAACAGTTGGATCGTTCATGATTCGAGCTACAGTTCCAGAGTGCACGACATCCCTAGCGTCATCGATATCTTGGAAATATTTCAGAATCGATAGGGTATGTTGTACGGATGTTATACCGCATGTTATATTGTAGAGCGCGGCACGGCAACCGAAAATTAAATCGTAGCGCAAGTGGTTAACCCTTTGCGGACGAGACTTTTCCATTATAAAGGCTTTTGGGCGACTATTTGGCGACATTCGTCCGCAAAGGGTTAGACATGGACCGCTGACTCTATGGCGAAAACGCGTGGTCGGTAAAAGAGAGAGAAAAATGATGTGCGTGGGCACTTTTGTTCGAAAACTGCCAGCGACATGTATACCACATCGTTAGGCATTTGTCGCAGAAACAAAATCGACGTGTCCGGCGCGTCGGCTAACAGTTGGATCGTTCATTATTCGAGCTACAGTTCCAGAGTGCACGACATCCCGTAGCGTCATCGATACCTTGGAAATATTTCAGAATCGATAGGGTATGTTGTACGGATGTTATACCGCATGTTATATTGTAGAGCGTGGCACGGCAACCGAAAATTAAATCGTAGCGCAAGTGGTTAACCCTTTGCGGACGAGACTTTTCCGTTATAAAGGCTTTTGGGCGACTATTTGGCGACATTCGTCCGCAAAGGGTTAAACATGGACCGCTGACTCTCTCAACTCATCTCTACCAAATCAGAGATGAGTTGAGAGATTCACGGGACGGATCGAGCGACCGCGTCCTGTGCGACCTCCGGTGGAAGATGCAGACGGCTAATGCACTTGCCACCTGTTACAAGTCTAGGCAGCCGGAGAACCGACTGAAAAAGTGAAGAACTCACAAAAACTTCAAACCCTGTGTCTCTTCCGAAAAAAATCGCAGCCACTAGCTCGAGAGATCAATTTAAACGGAACAACCTTCCCCATCAAGCTACCGTGGACGCAGTTCTCATCGCGACAAAAATTCACAAAGATCCTTTAACATATTTTAACATCTTCTACCAACAAGAGCAGAAAGCTCGATTTCGATTAACTGCCCATGATGATTTTACCAAAAATGGCTGCTTCCAGGTGATCCACCTAAACCTGCAAAGGGGCACAAAAGTACAGGTAAAACGGAACATTGAAGAAACACTAGTAAGTCGCCAGATTCTCCGAAGTGGCCAATCTAAAGCTGAAAGGGAACACGAAGGCACGAACGAAACCATTGGAAAGCAAGAAAAAGACGGTGATACAAGTGCTAATAACTTACTAAAGTTACCATTAAAGTCAAGAATATTTCGCAGTGCATCGATCTCGTATAAATGACCCAGTAAAAATGTATTCAATTATACATTATTTGGCGTGATAAAAATCTAATATATTTATCATACTTAAATGCAGACTCGAGAAAATCTCATGGAAACGACAGTTCACCGTCTCT